TTTGGGGATAGAGAATTAGATCATTATAAGTACTGCATAAGACAAAGAAATGTTTGCCTCTTTAGATTTACCCTCTAATGTCTGGAAAATAATTGTGTTAATTCATGATTTCCTCACCCAGATTTCCCCAAAAAGGAAAAATGGCTGTCCTACATCATTTATTAACTTCTCTCAGTGGTGGTGGAAACCAGTGGCCAGGGAATGCATGAGCACTTGACTTTTCTTGCCAAGCACCAAAAATTCTCCAACTTCTCCCAAAACCTCACTTCAAGGATAATATTACGTACATAGAAAAGAAATTAGTGGTTGAAGGTTAAAGAATAAAAAGGTGTGCTACAAGAGGGGTGTATGCCAAATACTAATAAAAAATCTCTAAAATAGAAGTTGTCTTGTTACAAAAAATAAAACTGATCTTAAATCGCGCATATTTGTAAAGCAGCTGTTGGAACAGGCACTGGCCTATGCACCATGAGGAACCTAAATCAAGGATGGACTGGCTTTCGCCAGGCTTTTCAGAACCTTGGAAAGAAAACTGGTGACCCCCATCCTGGAGTGCTACCACGTTCCTGCCCTCGGGATCTCCGGGGATGGATTTAAATTTTATGCAGCGTGGTATAGTGCAACTTGAATAGCTCCACCCTAGAGAAATTTCCAGAGCCTGGGCTTGCGGAGTGCATCATTCTTCAGGTGCAGCCTTTTGGCCACCTCCTGGGTGAAGAGACAAATTCAGGAAGAGCTCGTGTAACCAAGAATAAGCAAGTGAGCAGGAAAAGCAGCATGAAGCTCAGTTAGATTGGATGATTTGTCTCTGTCACTCTTCTGCATCCTGCCCCAACTCACACCCTTCACGTCCTTGATATAACCTTGTGGTCAGTGGGGTCGAACTCTCTGTCCTGGACTTTAGACTCAGTCTAGTGGCTTGCTTAGACCAATGGGACATGATGTGAATGGGGGATTGAGATGTGCTTGCACGTCTGGGCTTACCCTTTGTGTTCCTGTCTTTGATAAGAACTAGAAAAGTTTTAGCATACTTGTTGGTCCAAGGAGTAGAGTAGGATGCTAACTTGCGGCTTGGAGCCTAACCCTGCCAAATCCAGCCCACTTCTTCCATATTTCGATCAACCCAGATATGGTTCTTATGCCACTTAGATTTTTATTGTTTGTTAGAGAGGATTGTTGTAAAAATGGCCAACGAATACAAAGAGATGTTCAGAATGTGGTCAAAAGATTGCAGCTGGTGCCTCAAGTGTTCATGAGCGAGAATGTTTGTAGGTGGAGTCCGTGAGAACTGATGAGGGTTAATGACGTAGGCTCTTTGCCACTGTTCATAGAACTCACCCAGATTGCCTGCAGCTCTGAAGTTCACATATATGATGTCATCTAAATTAACTTATGACACAAACGATTCTCCTTTACTTGTGGTCTTTGTGGTGTGCAACCTGGATGCTGATAGGGGTGACCCTGCCATCTGGGCTGCCAGCTCCTCAGGGTTTCAAGCTGCTTGCAGTGTTATCTGAGGAAAGGGGATGCAGAAGAAATGAATGAAAAAGAGTGGGAGGGCCTGGCGTAGTGGTCTAGTGGCTAAAGTCCTCGCCCTAAACACTCCAGGATCCCATATGGGCGCCGGTTCTAATCCCGGCAGTTCCACTTCCCATCCAGCTTCCTGCCTGTGGCCTGGGAAAGTAGTTGAGGACAGCCCAAGGTCTTGGGACCCTGCACCCACGTGGGAGACCTGGCAGAAGTACCTGGCTCCTGGCTTCGGATTGGCACAGCACCGGCCTAAGGGGAGTGAATCATCGGACGGAGGATCTTCCTCTCTCTCTCCTCTTCTCTGTATGTCTGACTTTGTGATAGAAATAAAATAAATCTTCAATAAAATAAAATAAATATTTTTTTAAAAAGGAAAGCAAAAAGAGTGGGAAAGACAAAGGCGGCAAAGGAGAGAGAAGCAGCAGAGGAAATAATGCAATCAGGTTTTCAATAAGCACTTCAAATGTCAAATTTCTTTTGTTATAATTGCATGTCAAAATACATTATTATTGTCTGTGTTGTTGGCACAGCTGGCTAAGCTGCCACCTATAAGGCTGGCACCCCACTTGGGCATCAGTTTGAGACCTGGCGGATTCACTTCTGATCCACATCCCTGTTTATGTGCTTGGGAAAGCAGCAGAAGTCAGCCCTTGTGCCTGGGCTCCTGCATTCACAAGGGAGACCTGGATGAGTTCCAGGCTCCTGGCTTTGGTCTGGCCAGCCCAGCTGTTGCAAGCTTCTAGGGAATTGGAAGTTGGAAGATCTCTCCCTCCTTTGCCCTCTATAAATGGCTTTCAAGTTAACAACTTAATCTTAGATTTTATTTTTAATTTGGAAAAGTGGGTAGGTCCCATAGCAATGCTAACCTTTTAAAAAATAATAATAATAAATTCATCTTTATTTATGTAGCTAGAGAAATGCATGCCCATGTGAACCACCAATTAGGGTGGGGAGGGTTGAGCAATGAGGGAAAGTGGATGAGACAACTGCCTCCAATCTCTTTTCTTCTGCTATCTGGGAAAGTGGAGAGAGAAGGGAGAGGGTGGCTCCCAGTAACCCAACCGTATCAGTCCCCCTCACTGGGGGAGACCACATGATGTCATCCCTAAGTCCCTGATGTGGAGCATGTGGGAGGTTGAGTGGTTTTGATAGTTTCGGGATGCTCTAGGGTTTAGGAAGTTCTTCCAAGGTCCATTGGCTGACATAGGTGGGACACTCATGCAGCAAGCGAGCACCTCCCTGCAGAGCTACGCTACCTTTTGCTCACCCATTCATTTGTTCTGACGCTTTTGTCATTCTCATCTTTTGGCTATTGCACCTCAACCAGTCCTGGAACCAACCTTTTGTGGACAGCGGTGTGCAAATATCTCCTCAGTTCTTGCTTTGAAATTCTTTGAGTCTGTCCTGATGAGACAAGTTGCTGGGTCATTTGGTAAGTCTGTTGAGGTATTGCCTGACTGTCAACCTCAGTGGTCACATTATTCTACCCCCAACAGGACGTGAGAGTTTCAGCTTCTCCACAAGCAGGTTTTCTTGCTAACAATAGTTTGTTTTCAATTTTGATCTTTTTTTTTTCTGCTACTCATACTTTTGATGTTATACACATCTGTTGCCAAATTCTAGCTCCTAAATATTAACCCTATGACGTTTCTAAGAGTTTTACGTTTTTACTCACTACACTTAGGTTACTGGTTCATTTGGAGTTTGTGCTTGTGAATGGTACAAGTAGTGGTTCAATTTTATTCTTTCGTTTGTAGGGAATCAATGGATCCCAACACGATCTGTTAACAAGGTTACTTTTCCTACTTCAAATAGATTTGTCACCCTTTTAAAGAATCAGTTATCCATGGGTGCATGAATTTTTGAATGATCAGTTTTTTGCTTTTTATGTTATTTCTTACTTAAAGTGAATAAATTTCATGTATTTCATATTTTCAGACTGAAATGCACAGTATTTCCCATTCTTTCCTCCCTCCTGTCTACACACACTCCTTCTTCCTTTCTTAATTTTTCTTTCATTTTTAACAACAACACACTTTCAGTTTATTTTACAATCAAGTTTAATTCTCCATCAAATAAAGAATTCCACAAAGAAGAGGTAAGCAGAAAAACCCCTGTTCCTCAAGAGTGTAGACAAGGTCTGTAGGCAGTAATCAAACCTCTAATGTTCGTGTCATTCATATATGTTATCTTTTCTGTGCTTTGTGTATGAATTGCCACAAATTGGGGAAAACACAACATTTGTCTTTTGGGGACTGACTTATTTGACTAAGCTTAATGGTTTCCAGGTGCATAAATTTTTGTTAAAAAAAAAGAGATAAGATGTCATTCTTTTTCTTGGCTGAATTATATTGCATTTGTACATATATCACGTTTTCTTTAATCAGTCATTAGTTGACAAACATCTATGCTGATACCATATCTTAACTACTATGAACTGAGCTGTAACATGGGGTAGAGGCAACTTTCATATGCTAATTTCATTTCATCTGGATACATTCCCAGATGGGTCATATGGTAACCCTATTTTCAGATCTCAGAGAAATATTTATATTGTCTACCATATGATCTCCATGTCCTCAGATCTGTACCACACCATTTGATTATCATTGCTGTCTAGTAGTAAGTTTTGAAAATAGCAAATCTAAGTACTTATATTTTGTACTTATTTTTTATTTTAAAGATTTATTTTTATTATTTTTTTTTTTCATTGGAAAGGCGGATATACAGAGAGGAGAGACAGAGAGGAAGATATTCCGTCCGATGATTCACTCCCCAAGTGAGCGCAACGGGCCGATACTATGCCGGTCCGAAGCCAGGAGCCTCTTCCGGGTCTCCCACGCGGGTGCAGGTTCCCAAAGCTTTGGGCCGTCCTCGACTGCTTTCCCAGGCCACAAGCAGGGAGCTGGAAGGGAAGCGGGGCTGCCGGGATTAGAACCGGCACCCATATGGGATCCCGGGGGTGCAAGGCGAGGACCTTTAACCACTTGCGCCACCGCGCCGGGCCCTGTACTTATTTTTTAAAGTTTCTTTGATTATGGGTGAGGATTAAGTTTCTTTGAGTTTGAAGGATGAGGATCGAAGTTGACTTTCTGCAAAAATAGCTACTGGAATTAAGGCAGGAATGGCACCAGCTATGCAGATTGCTTTGGGGTAGTACTGTCATCTTGACCATATAAAGTCATCTGCCTGTGTGGACTGTCTCCTACACTAAAGCTTTAAGCTACTTCTTGATACTCTTTGGAACAATACTAATTATTCAAAATTATTCAGCTCCTTTCCAAGTTGCCAAGAAACACACTGGCAACACATTTCAGATCTCAAATGGCTACATTAAGACACATTTCACTGCACTTCATAACGGTAACAGTCATTGATGCTGTGAAGAAACAAAATGCTTGTTAGTAATACGCAGCTGGGGACCACTTTCCTAGAAGATAGCTGATGAAGACCATGGTGTGTGCGCATCTTCAGATGGGCAGGGGACACAGAGACAAGCACAAGAGATTGGAGGCATAGAAGCATATTCTCATGAGGACCAAGCAGTCCTTGTTGTTGGAGGACCAAACGCAATCGTCATTTATATAGGTATGATCAAAGTTCACAAGCCGCAAGTCCTTCTTGAGATACGCATGGTTCAGCCTGTTGACAGTTCGAGCAAAGGCGTATTTTGAAGCACAACTATAAGCTTCCAACCTGTACACTTTCTTGAAGTGCAGATCAAAAAATGGATTGTCCTAGAAGAGAGTGACATGATTTAATTTGGAACCAGGATTCTCTTACATTTTCTTGGATGTGTTTATTGATGGTAGAGTATCAATATCAAATACGTTTCCAACATTTACACATGAGCTTTCCAAAGCTATCTGCTACAAATACAATTGCTTTCCCAAAGTCCCCAAGGAAAAAGAATACACACACAGAAAAGATTATTCTGATGTCCCCGTGACTTTTTAATTGCACAAATTGCACAAGCCATGGAATGTGCAGTTTATCAAGGCTCCCCAGGTTTGTGAATTTGAGAGGCTAGGGAGGGATAGAAGAGGAGAGTGAACCTGTTTACCAGCTTCTGGTGAGAGCTGGGAGGGCGAGGTTCCCCTGTCCTTTCTAGGGGCCTCGCCCCTAGTGCCACTGCACAGGTATCGAGGAAACAGGGCAGCTGGCACACTACAGATCCCAGCTTACTTTGAACTTACCAGCGAGAAATTACATTTGATAACAGGGACCACTGAATCCTTTGATGGAAACTGTCAAATTGCCTTATAGAACTGCTCAAGGTTTGTCAACTTCACAGAAAGCATTTCCATTTACAAAATGCTTTCATGTTCAATAGCCGTGCAACTGCTCGCTCTCTTTGAGAGCAGACTCTGCATTATTTATTTTGGTGTCTCTGGTGCTTTCCCATGGAAACTACTACATTCTCAGGACACGTGGAGCTGATCTAAAGTAGTCCTAGAAAGGAAGAGTGTAGGTCAACATTGGCCTGAATGACCAAGAGGCTGAGAGGGGCCTGATTGTGCAGAGTAGGACCAATTAGTTGGCATGGAGCACGTAAACATTGTATACAAACAACTGCTGTAATTGTGATGTCTTTCTCAGGGAGGAGCGTTCTTGTAACAGGCATGGAAAGACATCTGGACTAACTGTCCTAGCTAGGACAAAGTATCTGTCTGGTTTGTCCTTTCATTTCCCCCTCATTTTAGAGAGAGTTGCCATAGAATTGACACGAGATCAAGCGTATAAACTTAATGAATTATAGCTTCTTTTCTCAGATTTGCCTTCGAAGGTGGTGGCACTGGTGCTACTATAGCCTTGCTTTACAGCAATAGGAGTTTTTTTTTTAAATAAAACAAAAATTCTTTTTAAAAGAGAAGGTGTAAGAGTCATGCAATTCTAAAGACAGCCTTCCCCAGCCACAGCTTGCAGTTTTCTCTAACTGTCATCACTGTTGCAGATGCAAAGACAACTTCTGCAGAGAATCTGAGTGGGAGGGTCCCAAGCCTAGCCGACCTGCAGAGGGTCACCATGCTCCTCCTGCAGTATTTCCTCACCCTGTAGATTGCATGTTTCCAGCCTCTGAGACATTGGAGAGGCTGACTCGTGACGCTCGACTGGTGCACACAGGGCATCGCTCCCTCTTCCCACTCCCTGCTTGATAGGATACCAGAGCTAAACAAGGGATCTCATAGATTATTGATCAACCCCTTGTTGATAGTGGAAGATGGCTTGCAGAGAGGTGAAGTCCAGATGACACATGCATTTATTGGCAGAAAAAGGTGCAGAACAGTGATATCAATCAACCCACGTCATTCTTTCTCCAGTTGAACCGGTCCATCTCCAAATCCCCAGGCATTTGGATGGTTGCCTTTTAGATTGACATTAAATTCAATCTCATTCCATTTTGAAAGTTGACAGCTCTCTGGCATGAAATGACTATTAAAACCATATCATTGTGATTGAGAAATATAATAATTGATGACTCCTAAGGATTAGTTTCTAAGAGAGGAGATGCAGAAATTCCCAGAACAGCTAGGATAGTTTTTCTTCATTCACAGAAAATAAATCTTCAAAGAACTTTTTGAGTCTTACAATTTTTTCTTTAAAAATGTAATATTTTAGGTTTTAATGTGATGAGCACAACAGAAATAGTATATTTTTGTATCCAGTTCACTATGAAAGATAATGATCTTCAAATTGAAAAAGGAGCAATCAACAATATTGGGATGAAATCAAAGGCCAAGAAAGGTGAACAAATAGGGCGCGGTCAGTTACTTCCATTGAGCCTAAGATGTCAAGCCTAAGGAACGCTTTCTTGGCAGTGACCAAACTTGTAGAAAATAAATACAACATTAATGATGTTTGAGAACTTGAGAGAACTAAAGAGGAAGGAAAATGAGCCAAATGTTAGGTGTGGAAGGTGAATTCTTCCAACTATACATTAGTGAGCTTGACAAGGATTTCTGAATTTTAGCAAGTATGAAAAAAGCATAAAGAAAAACATTATAATTAAAAATTTGCAATCCCATCAGACAAAAGACCTGGATTTATATGCATGATAGTACTGAAAAAATGATGGAAAAGCAAGATTAAAAGATAAGTTTATTTTGATGCAAAACATCTGAAACCCATGCATACCTTTTTCATAATATGTGTTTTCCATTACCCATATAAGAAGCAATGGATCGAAGGTCTACATGTAAGACGGGAAACCTCGAAATGTCTAGTGGGAAACATAGGGGAACACTCCAAGACACGTGCATAAGCAGTATGTTTCTTAGGTATGACCCCAAAAACACAGCCAATAAAAGAAAAAGTATACAAGTGAATTTCTATCAGAATAAGAAGCTGCATAGCCAAGGAAGCAATCAACAGAGGGAAAGGACAGCCAGCGATGTCTTTGGTCAAACTATCTGTGAACTTTTCCAAGATCCCTGGGAAGGATCCATGGACATCCTGAGGATCCCTCTTACATGTATATATGCACATGCCTGTGCCTCGATTTATTTTTAACATTAAAATATAAGACTCAGATTTTAACAATAATAACCTGAATAGGCAAAGTCGACATAGTATCTTAGAAAAATTTTGTGTTAACTTGATTTAAAAATGTATTAAATAGTGAAGAGCTGTGTTCTTAGGTATTCTTTTGGAAACATGTTTTGTATTGGTTGCATAATATTCTTTCACATGCTCATCCAACTATACATTTAACCATTTCTAAATGTGTACATTTAGGTAAAATATATTCTGAGGAAAATGAATACTTAGGAAACAGAGCAAGAAGTCCAGCGTTCTTACACCAAGAAGTCAAGCCAGACACAACAAAATTTACAGCTAGAGTTTCCATGTGACAACACAACATTGTGTCAGGTCTAGACATTCATTTTGTAAACCACAGATTTTAGATATTCGAATCAGATGATTGATTTGTTAACTGAGGCAGAATTAAATGCTTATGGCTATTTAGTTCTCTCCTATGTTCTCAGAACCTAACAGGGGCTGGTATATAATCTATCTTCAAAAAGGGAATGAATGCACATACAAATTTGTAGGCGTTTAGGGCCAAAGAAGGCATATTAATTTATCTAGGTCAAGTCTGGTCTTACCAGCCCTGAGCAAATCAATCCCCTGAAGTTTCATTTTCTTTGTCTGTTAAATAGGAATAATAATAAACTCTAAGGCATAGTCTTTTGTGATGACCACATGAATTTCACATGAAAAAGACTTCCATGGCTTCCTGACACCTCTTTGGAATGAAGAGTCAGGGGTAGGACTTTGCCCAGTGGGAAATCTCGGAATAAGATGAGAGACGGGCTGATTGCAATTCTAAGCCTCCAGTCAGTCCTAAGACATCATAGGTATGATGTTCCATGGGGTGTGGATAATTTTTCATCAACAAAAGAGTTCAGGGACAAACTGAGAAAACCACTTTTTACATGGTCAAGTGGAGAGACTGGAATATCCTCTCTCCCCCTTTAACTCTGAGATTATAAAATTCCTAAATTATACAATCCTGCTAGTGGATGAAATGGGCTTGTTGATAATAAGATTTAAAAATGAAAAAAAGGAGCTCTTTCATGGAAGAAACTGAGGTGGGGAAGATGGAGGAAGCATCGTGTGTTGGGAAAAGGGCACTTGCAATGTTAGGATCGACTTGCTGATTGTTGTTAACCTGCTGGGGGATCCTTGGGAAGAATGCTTCTAAATTCAATGTGTAAAATTCAAATTTCATAAAAATACAACAACAACAACAACAAAATAAGCCAATATCATCCAAGCAGGTTAAACCAGAGCACCTGAGAATAACCTAGGTCATTTTGGCCCTTAGCATACGCTGAGAATACATGAAGGAGGATATTTAACATAGAACCTTTCAGTATGTTAATTCCACTTCTCCCTCGTAAAACAGAACACTTACAGTATCTGCTTCCTTGCCATCAATCATCCGCAGATCGTTCAAAGACCATTTTTTCGTGACTTCGTATTTTTCATCTAAACCTATTCGGTAGTGCTTCACTATAATTATTTTTACTTCTTTATTTTTGGTCACTGCAGGAGAGAAAAATATACTTAGTTTACATACATGCTTAGAAGACAATGATTTATTTAAGTGACTCTTTTAAATATTTATGCCTCCTGTTGTTATGCAATGACCTTGGACCCTAATTTTGCAGACTGATGTAGATGAACGTCCAAAAGCATGCCCCTGGATTTGGTCAGTGGCTTCATATTTGGTGACAGTCGCGGTTACATGGCACAGTGTCTGCAGGGCTGTGCGTGTCTCACTCCGAGCTTTGTAGTAGAGGACGGAGTTCAACTTGGAGCAGAAAATAAGAGGCTTAGTATCAGCTTCCAGTCAGTGCCAACAAGTTGTCCAGGCCACAACAGATTTTTAATTTATGACAAGTTAAGAAATCAAAACCAAGAAAGTAAACAATACTGTTCCCACAGTAACAGTGCTGAAGAGGTAAAGACTGACCAAGCACGTATAGCAGGAACTAGGAACATTTTCTTTGAAATTCTCTTCAGATTCTCAGTGGGGAGTGCTTGCATCATAGCTGTGCTGCTGTTTGGCATTGTTTGAGATTATTAACCCTCTCAAGCACGTGTCTTAAATTCTAATATTCAAATCTTGCCATGGACACAAGAGGTCTTAGTGCTACACTTAGATATATGTGGGGAAATCTCACTTACTTTATGAGAACAAACTGAGGGACATAGTTTTTCTTAAAGTTAATTGTCTTTGGTCTCACATAAACACATAGATTATCAGCATTTGAGCATGGAACTCATGAACTGAAGCTTGTCTCTGACGCACTAAAGGACTGTGTACTGAGAGCAGTAAGCTATGGTTTTGTTCGGGAGACACGGCTGACACCCATGAGTGCCACATGATAGTATATTACAAAGAAGTACAGGAAGGAATCAATTTGGATACCTAGAGAGTTGCTAATCACGTCTGTCTTCTAAACATGATGCTAAGATTTGCTTTGAGACTCTCTGCTGGCTCTGGAAAGTGCCACTGTGGCACGCCGTCCCGATTACGTAGATGCAAAGTGACATATTACAGTGTAATCACAGTGATAGAAATGTGATGTGAGCAGATTATTCCAGGATGTCTCAAAATTCAGGGAAAAATGGAATGAAAAGATGTTTACTTTGGTTAAAAAAATTCCTGAAATCCATGCGCTTTTTTTGGTGTGTCTGGTAACAAATATTTTCCAAGAACCTTGTGAATATTCTTCATATGTTTGACAGTTCTGAGAAAGGAAAAGATTGGAACAAGTGGGGAAGGAGAATAGAAATTTGAGATGGATTAAGAGAAGGCGGGGGCCACCAGTGGCCAGAGGAAGATGATGGAAGCTTACCCTGAAGGCAGGAAGAGAGAGGGAGTTGACTGCAGACACTGGCACGATGGACTACAGAACTAACTAGGTCTACAACGTTGTGGAAATACTTTGGAAGACTGTGGATTTGGAGGACCTATGTGGACCTGTGGTGGCTGAATCGCCTTCTCTGGTGTGAGGGCTGGGGGCTCAGGGTCAGTGCCTGGCATCAGGACCAGAGCATGTAAAGGGAGTAATTCTTCTCTAAAGGCAACATGCTGAGCTCAGAGTCAGTGAGGGAGTTGGGTTTAGTCCCCCTGAAAGGGGAACCTGAGCAGATTGGTACATTTCAGGTTGCCTACTCAATATCAGGTGTTGAGGGAACTCAGAGCCAATTGCATGGTCAGCAAGTCTCCTTTCTGGAGCAGGAGACTAATAGAAGGGATATTTTCACATAGAAGACATGTTGAAGAAGGAAATAAGGAGCAATGGGAAAACAGCGGAAGAGATGATGCAACTTGGTGGATCCTGGAGTTAGACGCTCTGGAGTCAGTCTTGGCATCACCTCTTAGAATGTGATCTAAGTAATCTGCTCTCTAAGGATGTCAAACCCCAGTTTTCTCATGTTGTGACGTGAATGTCAGAGTGACCCAAGTTTGTAGGATGTCAAGATCCAGGTAATACATAATGGGCTTAAGGCTAGTGCCTGACTTCCTGGTAACTGCTCAAGTGTTGTGTTTGCTGAAGAGGCTTCTGTGGTAACCCAGGCGTGGGGGTGTGGGTCATTGAAACACAAGTGGCAAATGCAGGCAGGATTTCACACAAGTCGTTGAGAGCCCTGGGTGGAAGCCAAACCCTGGAAGCAAACCCAAAAAGCAAAGTGTGGAGGGTGAGGTGCTTGGGTGGGAGGGTGAGTTTTGGCTTTGATCCTACAAAGCATCTTGGGAGAGAGGGAAACAGAATTTTTGTAGTATATACATGGAGATACAGATTGGAGGTTTTGGTATATTGGGAAGGTTTCCCAGAAAATTAAAAAGAACAGACTAAACAGTTGAAAAAGATGCCATCTAAGAGGTATGAAACAGGTCAACCAATGCTAACTCTATGGAAATCAAGATGGTAGAGGCTGTCGGAGATTTGGAGAGTTCTCAGAGGTCACTGGGTCAGGTAAGGCAGGCGTCAACCCTGGCACAGAATCTGACCTGGGGAACAGCATCAATGCTACCATCCGTCCTCTTCTCAGGCCTGCTGAGAGGGCAGCAGCCAGCAGCAGAGCACACCTTCCATTCTAATGCTGATATGCACTGGCTTAGGAGGGATTCAAAGCACTAACAGGAGGAGTCGGCACTGTGGTATAGTAGGTTAAGTCTTCCTGCAGCACCTGCATCCCATAAGAGTGGGAAATTAGTGGAGGATGACCCAAGTCCTTGGGCCCCTGCACCCTTGTGAAAGATCCAGAAGAAACTGCAGGTTCTTGGCTTCAGACCCGCCCAGCTCCAGCTGTTGCACCTATTTGGGGAGACAGCTAGTCTCTGTCTAGCTGGAAGATCTCTGTCTCTCATTCTCTTTCTCTAATTCTGCCTTTCAAATAAAATAAGTCTTAAACCACAAAACAAACAAAAAAGCCTACAGAAAAAGAGACAAAAGACTACGGTTAGGTTACATGCTCCAGGAATTTGGAAGAGAGAGTGCGTGTTTGTGGGAGTAGAGGGAGTGATTTAAGAAGACATCAAGGAGGATCCCTTGACTTGGAGTCACGGAATCATTTCAGAGTCATGCAAGAGTTGGTGGCTATTCCTACAGACAGTCCATCAGCACTGGTCGTGCCAGCTTTGGAAGGAGAAAAGGATTAAAGGGGAAGTTGTCAGGCTGGTGCTTGAGCTACAGGCAGAACTGACTTTACCATACTTACTGAAAACAGGATTTGGGAGGCAGTGTGCCTGCCCAGATGAAAACTCAAACTCTGAGCCAAAGGACGGGGATCTTGCTCCAGCTCTGTGTCTCACCAGCTATTCCACAGGGGCCAGGGGCCAGAGGAAGAGGCATGGAGAAATAACTGGAAACCACACGCAGAGCCAGTCCCACAGCCTCATCTACATGTTCTGAGAGCCAGCTTCACTGCAGCTCTGCTCCTGTGTTTGTGTGTCCTTTCTGGATCAAACACTGTGCTTGGACTTGCAAAAGTCAGTTCCCTTAAGCACTGTTCTATTACTAAAACTGCAGCAGTGATGGAGTTTCTTTCCCAAATGCGGAGGCACAGCAGGTGCTGCTGGGACCTGCTGAGGGAGGTGCTGCAAGTGGTCCTGGGCAGCAGGAATGAGCAGACTGACAAGAGGGGATCTATAGGAACATCCCCAAAAGGTGTGTGATCCCTGAGTCGTTGGAGTCTTTGGAGTCTTTGGGATTGTGGGTGACACGTGCAGGCGAGCAGGAAGTCAGAGCGTGCAGAAGGCAACTCCTGATTTTTTGAAACACCAGGCTAAAGAGTAGAAATGTTACTTTGGAAGTCTGTGTTGGGGGAAGTTGGGGAGTGTCATCAAGGACTTTAAGTGAATATGCAGACTGAATTCTCTAATTTAGGGGGAGAAAACAGATGTTTAAAACAAGCAAACAAACCAGGATTGACCAATCATCAAGTTTTCTTATGTCAATGATTAGTGTCCCTGAACAATCAACTAAGAAAATAGAAGAGCATGCTTTAGATGTCGACCTTTGATAACAGACTACAGCCTCGTGATTGGACAAAACTACCTCCTTCAGAACTGAGGAGACTCCAAGAATCCTCTTGAGTCCTGAGCCAAGAAGATGGCTTGAGCTGGAGTAGGCCCAGTCCCTCATTTCTACCCTTGCACTTTGTTGCCAGGAAATGGCCATTTCCACATTTATGCAGCGCCAGAGTGGAAACTTAGCACATTGTCTTAACACAGGAATGTGACTCTATAGCCAAAAGAGTGCTTGATTTCCTTGTCATCACAGCTTCTGTGACTCAGTTCTGGGACAGTGACTGCAACTGTAGACCCAAGACATTGCCGAACTGGCCTGCTGCCATTTTAATAATTCAGTTGGCATGTTGAGTTACAGTCTTCACTCTGTGCCAACCACCCCGTTTCACATTCCATTTTAAATAAATTTTGTCATTAATAAAAACTCTATTCCCATCATAAAATAGTCCCACTTATTGGAGGCTAGGTGGAGAGATTGGCCAGGGGACCCAAAATGCTTGGCAAAATAGAGAAAAAAACAGAAGCGCCAGAGTATGCTGCACAGAAATCCATTAAATAAATACATTTTATATCCAGTGTTTTATTCTTGTTTTCAGCACATAGGCTAAAAAGCAGGGGAAAAAATCACCATGAGTTGTTGAAGAAAAGAAACATCGGTAAAATGCTATCATGCATTGATCATAAACCACTGAGATGCCTTTCACTGATTAAATAAAAAATTAGTTTACAAAGCTTTTGTTCTAGATGTGTTTTTATGAAATTTATTTTGGGGCTACCTTGGGTGTTTCTCAAATGTGGGCTGTTGGCAGGTTGGGGTCTGGATTTTCACTGTCCAGTCAGGAACATATGTGAGTGAAGGAGAGGGTGCTGTGGTGACAGAGGCACGAGGGATGTGCTATGAGATTCTGATTTGCCCTTTGCAGTTCCTGTACAACGCACTGACTGAGTGGCAATGCACCAGATGCAAAGCCTCCAGTCCTCACTTGCTACTCAGTGAGCT